CACACAAGGCAATATACTGTAGGTCAGAGCATTAATCAAATAGTAACCAACTATATATCCCAATGGTGCAACATACTTGAACAACTAAGTGGTAAAGTATACTGTAAGCATCTTAGGTTTCCCTCCCCAGCGACAATCACTTGGCTTTTAAAAGGGTACTTCTCATCAAAGCTATTCTCAACATGCAGAAGAGCCACATGACCGATTAGAGGGTGGTATGCATGCTGCTCTCAGAAGACAGGTGAGAGACGGACAGACAGAGAGACGGACAGCTTCCCTGGATTCACTACTGTCACGTCCGTGGCCTTTTGTGCCAGCAGCTGCAGGCAGACCAGATTCCACTGCCTGTTATGATTTAGAGGAAGTGATGTGTGGAAGAGAAAGAATAAAGAGAGTGGAACGTCCTGTCCTCCTGACCTGGGCAGCAGCCCCTGGGCCAACACAATTCAAAGGAAAATAACTGAGACTGCAATATAAGCTTCATACAGAAATACATTTTTTATCAGAGAGAAATATCAGCCCTGCAGTTCACCTGGTAGAGCGGTGACCGCTGAGGCCTTAACACAGAGGCAGGGGTTTGAGTCTGACCTGCAGCCCTTTGCTGCATCCTCTCGCTCACTCTTTCCTGACTGTTTCTAGTCATCCGCTGTACTTTCAAATAAGGCACAACGTTACTAGGTTGTGGGTATTTGGATATCGTATGTGGCACAAGTGTTATATTTTCCCGTTTTAAACGCTGCGTAACTTTAAAACAATTTTATTTTTCAACTTACCCTCCACACTTATCCACACGACTGATGAGTATTTATTAGAAATCTCATTGCAGAAATGTGAAAGCACCAATAGTCAACCCTACAATAACAATATAGATGTATTTGGTACAAAAATATTAGATTCTCTCTCTATCAAGTAAGCAAATATCTTTGAACCTGCTTATACATTAATAGGTGATGCAAAATCGTCAACCAAGTATTTATAGAGATTTTATGTATACAGAACACAGACTTGCCCTTTGCAACCTAATTTCTATCTGCCATAAGCAGTACATAATTTCTTTACATCACACATCTCTTTACAGCCAGCTTCAGAACTTATAACATTTTAATTCACAACTTCCCACACCACTTAACGTGATATAAACACACACACATTTCTGACCCACTAACCTCCATGTTTTGATAAAGAGAAATTAGATTGCCCATTGTTCAGAGGAACCACACTACATAATATTTGTAACATCTGTGTGACCCCTCAGATTACAGCGCAGCCTGAAAAGACATGTAATGACGATAAGCTCATATGCACAATTTATAGTGTAACACCCCACAACAGCAGAATCCAGATGTCACCCCTGTTGCTCTTTCAAATGTGGTTCATCTTCACCACTGCTGCATCCATTTAAACTGAGCTCCCTGGGATAAGACGTGTTGAAGAGGCGGTGACGACAAGCAGTACGCTGCAATAAATCCCCCCCGATCGACCCGCAATTTATGAGTCTCCAACACAAAGCACTGGGCGTAATTAAGCTGCAAATTAATCAATTATGAAATCACTGCCGCGACACTACTTTATAATAACGTTATCTTTTATTAGGTATGTAAATGTGCGCCTTGATGTGCATGTATATTGTGCCCTATCTTTTATATGGAGAGAAACGCATGGCAGGAACAGAAACACAATAGCCAATTAACCCCTAGACATTAACTCTACTACAGCTTGTTGATGCCAGAGGGCCTCCGCTGTGGGACAAAATGATCGGGCCAGTAATAGTTACACTAATGTGGTACTTTCTGAGTGCTGGTCATTTATCTCTTGCCTGGTACACAAACAGATCGAGGCTTGGCTGTGACATTGACCTATAATGTGATACTAGCCTTAAGTTACATGCAACTTTTAACATATTTCTGCAATAATGTACACAACAATTTATGAAGAATTGACTTTTAAGTGACGCAAATGTTGCCAGACGTAATATGCCTCGTGCGTTTATTCATCTGCTATGGTGTCACAAAAAAACCTCTCATGCTGCTGCTTCATTTCATTTTATGAATAATGATCAACATAAAGAAATAGGATGGAAAAAAATACTCTTTTACATACATTGTTTTGGGGGTGATGGTTACATGTACCTAGAGGTCACTATGTTTCACTCAATTCTAATACAAAACAAAACAGAGTAGGACACAAGCTCAACACACTTAGCGTTTGAACACACATCCTGATACTCCTGTCTGTTTTTAAAAAAATGCTTTCATATTCTGTGCAATAATCCAAACTCAACTATTTAGACTAATATATTTAGGTTGCACTCAACTAAGAAAGCTGAAGTCACCAGAGTCTGCTTGGAGGCAGACTGAGACCCAAACAAACTGCACTATCCAGGCAAATGCAGCAGGTTTGGTGTCTAAACACCCATATAGATATTTTAGGATTTAGAGTAGAGCTTAAAAGTTTTGACAGAAAAATGATTGCCAGCTATTCTGATAAAGTAACATTTCATGCAGAAAACGTCATAGAAAGCAGTTTACTGCGTTTTAAACTTTCAAATGTGCTGCTTTTCCTCATTGTTTTCTGATATTTAAAGACCAAAACATTAGTTGCTTAAAAAACTATTAATAAATATGATAGTTGCCAGCCCTAATCTGAAGGTCAAAGTGCTACACATGGTAATAAAATCCATAACATTCCCCGTGTGGGTAAGTGAGAGGAAGAAAATCTTGGTAGAATTTGCGAGTAGCAATGTTAAACTATAAGAGTAAAACCATATGTGTGTGTTTGCACGAGCACGCAATGTACATATGCTGCTGGTGTTTGCCGGTCATATAAGGGGACTGCTAGAGTGAGAGTGTGTGTGTGGTTGTGTGAAGAGTGAGCCAGAAGAGGTATCCTACAAAAGGGCCCCCTCAGCTGTGCCGGCAAACAGGAAACTGCCGTGCATTCTCACAGTTTCTCCTGGCTCCGTCTGTTTCTTTTGCTCTCATGCCGTATTCTAGCCCTTTTAAGATCGACCAAAGGCACTGTGTTTAAGCAGCGAATGTAAACACAACAACGTATCTCATCTCGTTCCTTACAGCCCACCCTATTCTGCTCACTTCTCCCTCCTGTTGGTCCCAGAGTGGGCCTCTCTGCTAGACTAGACAGGAGGTGGTGTAGTGTTACTATGGTGCTCGGGGTGCTTCTGCAGATCTCCTGTGTATGGATGCCGGTTTATTCAGCCTACACACTAGCCATGTTCTCCTAATTAGTTCCCAGTGTACCCTTCATTAGTGTCGGATACAATCTGCCTCTCTTTGTGGATTAGGGATTCATTATGACCAAAATTAGAATTGTTCTGGTAAATAAGCTATTCTACAGTATGCAGGTCTATAGAAATACTTCTTAAAATGTCTTTGATTTGAAATGAACTATTGATTTCTTTTGCATCTTTAAATCGAGTCTTATCTGTGGTAAAACAATATTTTCTTTAAATAGAATTAACACATTTATAAGTAGAAACAATCCTTTGCTTAATCCTCAAGTAGCACAAATGTATTAAGTTAGAGAAAAGTCCTACAGAAAATGAACCAAAGATCACATGTCCTTGAGGCGTCTGGGCCTAATGGACCACACTGAAATGCACAATATGCTAAAAAGTCAAACGTCACATTTAAGGGGTTGAAGATCACAGTAGAATAATGGCATGGCATGTTGCCTTTAAGAGCAGCAGCCGAGAAAATAATTGTGCAAATCACAGCCGAGTTTAAAGAAAGGGAGGAAAGCCTGGTATATGTAGGTCAATTTGTGGATGCTGTGGAACAACACAAAGTAAACGAGAGACGAAGAGAATGCTAACACAGCCAACCCAGATATTACATTCATGAGTGCAGCTAACTGTGAGGGGCTGAAAGAGTAAGACGGGGTGGGGGGGGGGGGGGGACCGCTGTGACATTACTACCTCATTAACACGTCCTTCAGGGAGAGCAAAGGAGGTCAAGGCATTGACCATTGAGGGTACAGAGTTCAAAGTTGTGTGAACCCATAAGAGCAGCAAGTAGTCCTTTCTACTGATCTTTACACATTTGGCCTCCCCACTCGCACAAACACATTTGTCTGAACACAGCTCTGGGCACACTCACGCTGTTATTAGGTGTCCATTCTCTTGCTGCCATTAAGGCCACGCTGCCAAAGTCTGCCAGAAGTCCTAATCAGATTTCCCCCTGCTCCCCAGCGAGCCATTAAGTCCCTCTCCCATCTGCCGCCTCATCCCGACCTGCAGATCTGCTCCTGGGCTCACTGACTGTCCAACATGTCTACCCGCCTCTCTCAGGTTATTAGGAGCAGGGTCTTGTGGAGACAAAGTGCAGAGTGGCTCTGCAGCTGCCACAAAGTCAGTTCAGAACCGGCAAGCTAAGCACTCTCTTCCCTTCAGAAGTCACCTTTCAGTCAACTGTGTTGTGCCGTTTGTTTTGTGGTTCTTTTGACTGTTTTTCGTCTCCGTCTGCCTCTCTCCTCACCTCTACCCTCCAAAGCGCGCCCGAGGAGCCCACAGGGAGCCTGAGCAGCATCTGTACCATCCCCATACTCCTTATTAGTCTTGTACGGGCACCTGGCCTCCATTTCGGTTCAGGTAGTATAGACCACCTGGCGGCTGTCAATGTTTTAGTGGTTTTATTATAATAAAAGCTAATGATTCATTTCCAAACTGCACAGAATTCAACAGAGAGGAAATTGAGAATCTGTGGCTATAAGGAAATCCTGCAGGGGAGGGTTTTTTTGTATCTAATTAAGATGATACTCAATAAACACACCCACACAATAAGTCTCCCTACTGTTAGGAAACATTGTATCCAAAACTAATTGATTCATAGCTAAATGTGTTTCTGCCTGAATTTAACAACTGTGTGAAACCTCATACAGATGCAACACAATGTAACAAAAGCAAATAAACATACTACTTAATACATCATTTACATTGGAGGTAGCTATTTAATATGGGCGACTGAATAATGCACACAACTCACCTTTGGTTCTCTGTTCTGTGGCCTGAAAAAAGACAAAACAATCATTAGTAAAAGAAACAAGTCTCTGCATAAATAAGATTAAAACAATAAGCATCTTTAATTAAAAACGGTGGGTCTAAATGTATGCCATCAACATGTTACTGTAGTTGCCTTGGCTGGCTCCCCAGCTGCACTACAGTGCTGGAGCAGCTAGCCGGGGCAGTTGGAACAAAATGTTCAGGAGCTGTTTTTGCTCATCTATTGAAATGCTAAAAGGGTCATGTTCACTCCTGGGACGGGGTGAGCGGGTTCATTGGTCTTGTGGCTGGAGAAGGAGTTGGATAGATAACAAGAATGCTCCTCTCATACATGTGGAAACAGACATAAACATACTTTCACCGGCACTGACAAAAAGGGATTAGGATACATCAAATGCATTACTGGGAACAGCAGGCAAACACTGAAAACAGATGACCCACTGAAGGAAAAAGTGAAGGGGAGGGGAGAGGCGGGGGGCTGCAGGGTGAAAACAAAGATTCAACAACTAAATGAAGTTCTGGCTAATGCTTCCTGTGGAAACACACATGACGAAATGCATGTGATCCATGTGCTGTTGAGAAAAGAATACCTTAACCCTACTTCAGACCTGTCTTTTGATGTGCACTATGTTACAATTGGAAGTACAGTAAAAGATCGGTGTGCAATTACTTTGGCAGTATTTCTTTGCATTGCTTGGAGGTGTTGGCCAAGCAGCATGATGACCCAACTGGGGCCGTATCTTACCATTTAGGTTTTGATTCACCCAAATGATTTGAATTAAAAGCGTACAATCTTACCTTTTTCTGAGCAGCTTCTTTCTTTTTCTTCTCTTCTTGCTTTTTCTTTTTCTTATCTTCCATCAAATGGTTCTCTTCTCGTGTTTGCGTTGCTTCTTGTCACAGCTTAAAGAAACAAAGACAAAAGACAAAAGACAAAAACAAAGAAACAGAGAGAGAATTTGAATATTTTCACAAACTCAGGAGAGAGAAGCTTTTCCTCGGCAGGAACGTCCTTTCTTTACAATTTCGGAGATGCAATGAGACATTTTTGCTCTTAAAGGTGAAATCAGTCGTTTCAATGTGGGCTGTTGTAACACACAGGATTACGTGCAAAATTGTAACAATCACCAGACTGAAGAATGCGGGATTTGTTTTGCCCTTTGCAAACCGTGTGTGAGTGTTTTGGTTTGGCGGTCTTTTGGTTTGGCTCTGGAAACCATTAGGGAGTCTACTATAGTGGGGGCCAATGAGATGAAGCCCCTGTTCTAAAGTCTAAACACCAGCCAGGGCACCCGATGCTAACACAACTCATATATATGCAGAGCACAGAAAAAAAATACATGACTTCATAACTGTAAACGCCTTTTCTATACGCTGTCCAGAGAAGAAGTGTTAAAAACCAAAACTCCCTCTGAACACCACCTGACAGCGCACTGTAACCCTAAGTGCATCCTGCTGAGAGCTTTATCTATAATAACCCTCTGCAAAGAAAAACAAATACATAACAGCTGAACAGTGGGTTTTTTAAGGACTGAAAGAAGAGGAACATGTCTAGAAATATTCCTCACACTTTAAAAGGGAAATTAAAACCATCAGCCTTTTCTCCTGCCATGCCTATGCTGCTGCAGGCGAGAGCGGTGAGGGCCATTGCCAGGCAACAAGCGATCCCGAGGCCCAGGTGAGCAGTCAGGTGGAGACGGACAGCGCCTGAAAGCACCGCGCTGAAATCAGTTTGATTGTACAGGTTCGATAATGGAATCAGGAATGCGAGAAGATGAACTTGGGCAAGATAAGCTAACGTACGAATCTGAGTTTAAGGTTGATCGATGTAGTCAGGGCTTGGAGCATGTCATGAAAGAGATGGGTCAAGATAGCTTAAAACAAACAAACAAAACAATGTCCCTTTCACCGCCCTCTCTAGTCTTTCTTGATCATGAAAAACTTTCATAAACATAAAATAAACACCAACCATATTGGTAAGAGAATTCAACTGAGCTTTCATTTAGCCATGTTATGATGAGACATGATATTTCACTTACGCCAGAGTTGTGTGAGGTCTTCTTATATTGTGGGTTGACAACAAAAGGTACACCCACATAAATACCTCTGGATTGATCATCTCAGTGACAAAGTGTAGATGATACTTGACATACAGCATGTTGGGAATATCTAGTAGGTTAACTTGTTTAAAAGATGTCAGCACTTCCTGTACCACGGGCCGATTTAGTAAGACGCTTAGCCGTGTTGGTGGGGAAATTCCTACAATAAAGATGATAAAATACCTCACTGTTTTTTTCCGATTTGGATGAATATTTTTGAATGGTGTGAAAAGGTTGAGGCTGTTCCTGGTTTCAACATGAGTCAGTGCAGTGAAGTTTCCTCAGTCCTATTAAATGTTAGTTAGCAACATTTAGGTATTGTAGATCTTATTACATTGATATTTATAATTGTAATCGCTAATCTGCCAATTAAGTCACAACATTTGCAAGTGAACTGAAGGTATTACATAATGGGAGATCAACAAAATTACCATTTATTTCAATATGGTATAACCTTACTCTGGACTGTGCGTTTTTTTTCTTCCAATCTGATCTTGCAGTTCGTGCAGCAAAGCTTAGTGAAAAGCATCTCAGACTGAGCAACGAGGAAACAGGTAACAAAGGATACAACAGAGAAGCCTCTCGCTAACTGTCAAGATCAGACCCCACAATATTCATTCATCTGTTTTGATGAATTTTTTTTTTCATTTTAAAACTGCTCTCATTTGTGGATAGATTGTTCCACAGACAATTTTAGGGAAACCAAACCAGTGCATTCCAATTGCAGGGATGCTCCGATCGCCAGTTTTGAGGGGATCTTCCATTTAAAGTGAAGTTTAAAATCAGGGGCTCATTCACAAACAACATAATTATTACATTCAAATGAAGACATTATTCAAGTCTCTCTCTCT